ACTTCACACGGAGTCGTGTAGGATCGAATGAAATTTATTTGTCAAGGAAATCCCATCCAGAGATCCCTCAGTGATTAGTGGCTACCTATCTATTTATCCACCTACCTCCCACCTGGGTAAGGTAGGTAGATACATTTACCAAAATCCTGCTTGATGTCTTGATACCGGTCCGACGCCCCCTTTTTTCCCATTCCTATCACTTCAGACCCTGTAGCCTGCATTCCTCAAAGCTCTCTCCTCGAGTCTCTTCAATCTTCCCAATTCGTGGAGGAGAGCTTGGCAAGTCGACTGAATTGCATCCCAGTCCTCTTGTCTCCTGGAACGGCCTTGAGTAAGCCGCACCATATACCTCGAATTAGAAACCCGATTGCCAAGAGTCTCAATCCTGTCGTTGATAGGCCCGGCTTCGTTTTGGATCGTGCGGTTTATAATACGCCGGGCGGTGACCGTGGTTTGGGGATTACCAAGGATTCCATTAACCCCGTTGTTTACTGCCTCAAATTCTTGTCTCTGTTGCTGAAACTGCTCGTGTGTTAAACGCCTTCGTTGCTGTGTCCCTTGTCGGTTCGTAGAAGGCATATTTGGTTGTTGGAGTCGTTGGGATTGGGAGAGAAAATATAATGTTCACTTCGTCTAAGTATATAATAATGTATTCTTAGGATAAGCTGTTTGGTGGGAAATATGTGTTTGGTGTTGAGATTGTATGTGAGAGCCGAAGACACTCCCATTGTTAGGCAAAGGGAAGCGCTTTTATGGACATCCACTATCCATCTTTTCCAATTCGAATGGGCATATGGCCAGTGTCCCGTGGACAGCTTCATCATTATTGAATACCATCATTGTCAGATATACATGGAGTGAAAACAAAGAAGTTATCCTAGTCATATCTCTCCAGCTAGCTACAGACCTGACAATAATTGTCTAAAGGCAAGATTGCTTGATATTCCATGGAAACTCTTATGATATCCCTTAGAAAATATGATACCTCTACTAGACGGTTCATGTTCATTCACAATTCCTGCTGACATTCGGGGATGGGTATTTTAAAATGAAATGTGTTCGTAGATTTGGAACTAGCCCCTATTTTGAATAGATATTGCACCCTGGCCACATGCATCGTTCCATAATGCACTACCATAGCATACTTGAGTGCATATTTGACATAGTTATGTAGAGTTCTACGCAGTTCTCATCTACTAGGCAGGAAAAACGTTTATAACCGGCAAGATATGGAGGTTTCTACGAGTTCTGTGAAGGATCCTAAACGAAGTTCATCACCTCACTCATACAACAAGACGATGCATATGGAATAAAATTCATTCTACCAAAAACTCCATGATATCAGATCCCTTGATGACAGGTGCCGTCTGAATTGGGAAGTCTCCCGATATATGCCAAATGCCCTGATTTGATTTCCATCGGTACCGTGGTCTTCCCATTGCTGTCGCCTTAAACACTGTCGTCCGTAAAGTCGTCAAGAGACAATCCTGCATTGTTCAATGCATCCCTCATGATTCTTTCTAGATCGTTTACACCTCTGGAAAGTGCGTGATAATCACTCCGACATGATTCCCAGTCCTGGTCCGTCATCTTGCCGCCACTAACCAATTTCTGCCAACCCGCACTGGCTTGGATTCGCTCCATAGCGCCCTCCACTCTGTTGTTTGCGGTCCTAGCTCGGGCCATATCTCTGTTGACAGATGCCTTGATCTCCTTGCTCACGTTTGGATCGCCAAGAACATTCTGAATCTTCTCGCTCGCCTTTCCGAAACGTGCTATGTTGCCAAGGATCGCCTGGACTTCGGCGAGTGAAGGCTTGGAGGACATTTTCGGTTGCTGGTGTTGTTGAGTCTGAAAGAGACTTGTGATGTTCACTTCGTTTAAGTACTTGCTGAGGTGTTCGGCGCGAAACAGTGTGTTTAGTATTGAGATCGTATGCGGTAGCTTAAGGAACTGCAATTGTTAGGCAGACAGAGAGGGCTTTTATGGACTTCTACAGCCATTTTTTCCAATTTCGAAGGGGCGTATGAACAGTGTCCCGTGGACAGATCAATCATCATTGAATCCCATTATACATTGGATGCAAGATGATTCCTACAGATGTTGCCAGGACGTGGCTTGAGTGTGTAGCAAATGTGATCTTTGATAGCTATGACCGAACGATATGCGAAGCTACAATAACACTCTAGGACAAAGAACCTGCAGCTGCTGTAGCACTTCGGATTATTTTCAGGTCAGGGGATTGGTCTAAAATATACACACAACTTAACTGACGCATCCTTTTATGTTACAAAGGCAATATTCACGTACAGGTAAGAAGTCTACACATGTACGCGGCCAATTATAAGGAGTCGGCCGTCCGTAAAACCTGCCTCACGAGGTCAACCAAACAACCTTAAATATGCTGCCAAGGGAGCTGCGAATTTAAAAGCTATCAAGCTCTGGGCACACATAAGAGGTGAGGAGAGAGAGGTCTATCCTTTGTCATATCTCAACCAACCATAGACCGTGATACCAGTAGCCCGAGTGATAAGGACTCAGATCCTGACAATGCTTCCTATATGATATCTTCGCAAGCTACTTGGGAAACGATCACACAGGCGGTTTACATTATATAATTCATAATTCAATTTTAATAATGAAGTACTTAAATCATAGTTTTGAACCGTTTTGTTAGCATTAACGTGTTAGAAGTGAAAGATTATTTCATACCTTTGAACTTTTGAATTTCAAAGCTTGCCTACCTATATGCTAATGATATATGATTCGTATAGGCATAGTATGGAACATGCGATACGTCGATATCTGCCGACTTATTATAGTGGCGTTATCGTGGTTGGCTTTCTTTTCTCTAATGAGCTCGAAATGGCAATTCTAGAACGCCAAAGCTAATTGCGGAAGGTCCCTGGGTGTCTACGTTAGCGTTACCACCCATCCTACCTTGGCAATGAGAGATTTGGAAATGGTCACAGTGCATTGGCCTATAGGCCGGATACTATAGCCAATACGGTATATCGCAACCCAGGATAATTGAATTTTATACGAGGAAAGTGGATACAATCGTCTCGTAAATCGTTCTTTACCAAGAACCCCATGGCGGTAATATGGCGATAAAAAGGACGGGCGCGCCATGTTGTTTCTCACGATACTCGAAGATTATTCAGCCCAGTAAGCCCATCCAACACGACAAATACTGAAAATGAGGTCTTCGTTTCTTATTGGGTTGGCATCGTTGAGCCTCGTCAGCGCTGTTCCCAGCGTTCACCTCGAGCTCCCAACCCGTCGGGGCTGCCAGGTCTCCGATGAGGGTCTCACGCCAGACACGGGCCTCCAGTACACCGCCAAGTCTAGCCGGCGTCAAAACATCCCGGATAGCTTCACCGTGGACGTGAACATCCACCTCGCCAGCACCGAGGCCCAGGCCGACTTCATCACGGACGCCATCGTCGACGCGCAATGGAAGGTGCTGCACGACGCGTTCGCCAAGCACAACATCAACCTCGTCTTGAACTCGACGGAGCGCACCGTGGACAACCTGACGGGCTCCGCGTTCGTCGTCCACGAGGAAACGGGCTGGGTCTACCACGAAGATGCGGAGGACGCCTATTTCAAGGCGACGCGAAAGGGCGGGTACGACGCCCTGAACCTGTATTTCTTCAGCTCCTACACGCCGGGGGCTACGGGATACTGCCAGTTTCCCACGGTGATCGCGGACAACGACAACCACACGTTCATAAGGGACTCGTGCCAGCTCAGCGCATTGACCATGCCTGGATTCACGCTTGAGCAAGGAGCGTTCGACGACTGGCATTCGGGCCATATCGCCGTCCACGAGACGGGGCACTGGTTCGGTCTCAACCACACCTTCGTCGGCGGCTGCTCCGACACTTCTGGTGATAATGTCTTGGATACTCCTGCGCAGTTCACCGAGGTATATGGGTGCCCTAATGGTACGGACACCTGTCCGAACCTGCCGGGCCTGGATCCCATTCATAATTTCATGGGTTACACAACTGATGACTGGTACGTCGATCCCCCTTGCTAAGCGGTCTCGGCCCGGAGCTCGACCGCTTGTGGATTTATACGATTGCTAACTGCTCCATTTCAGTACCAGCGAGTTCACCCCTGGGCAAAAGGAGCGCATGTTCAACACCTTCTTTGGTTTTAGGAGGACAACTTAAGGCATCTCAGTTAGCGATACCTACCTAGGTACCTATCTAGTGGTGTTTCCGCCCCGACCTTCCCCTTTTAATTCAATCTCATAGCAACCCTGGATCTATCCGATGGAGTGGAAAATTTTTGAAGAAATCGAGATTTTGTGAAGTAGACAGCGGGGTTTTAATATTCAGGGACGGGAAAAATACCGATGTATATGAATGGTACGAACCATGCGAATCACCACAGTTGCAGAAGTCTAATATATCTTTGCAGCCAGTGAAATATTCCTCGCCAAAAGGCTATTATTGTGAATGGATGACCAAGTCTCAGCTCGGTATTAAATTTATCAGGTCTGCTGGCCGACAGCCTGGTGGTACCACTGCCTATTAATGTTTTAACACATGGAGAATCAGTTGAGAATGACACGAGCAAGCGCTTTTGGTAGGTCGCAATAGACAGTGGCGTCCCAGATACCATGGGTAATGCAGTGACGGGTTTACAGAAAATTCTACTAGCGCTACTATCGAATGCCTCTGGGGGTCTGGTCCTTCACTATTTAAACATTGTCATTCAAAAACGTAGAAGTATTGTATGTTGCTGTTATTCAGACATAACGGGGATTATCCGCAGCTTACGGCGGGAAGCCGGAGCTCAAATACGGCCACATGTACGAGTGCCGCTGGACGATGTATGAACCTTTATAAAACCTTAGGTTAGGTAGGCATGAGCTAGCAAGTCTCCCAGCACCTTCCTTAATATATACTATTATCATACGACATAGGCAACAACAGGCAGCAAGAGCAGTCAAGCCAAATGATGCAATGGCCTAATGGTATCGAGCAGCCGCACTAGAGAAATGGTTAACTCGTCAGCCTTCTAGATGCATAGCAAGCCGAAGATTCTGGGTTCGAGTCCCAGGTGCGGTTGGTTTTTTTTACTCTCTCAACCCCTTTATCACCCATGTTTTTTTTTTTGGTTCTTGCTCGAGTCTTCTAATAATACCTAACACATACCTATTTGAATATGAGGGGGACTAGGCAGTCCTAGATTGCCATTAGAATGGTGTGGATTATCAGCGAAGTAGCAATATCTAAGGATGGAGTTGAGAGTGAAGCATGTGAGTAGCGACTCCAGGACACCGATTGGGATCAGAAGAATAGTCGTACACAATAGAAGGATAGATGCTATTTCCGTTGAAAAGAACATATTATTGCTGATCATTTCTTCCAGATACTTGGAGCAGTCGCGGATGGCCAACTACGCGACAGATATATAGGGGTGACCATACACCTGAAAATACCAATGTCTTCCTCTACGCTTCTGAGGTTCACACTTAGGAATCCTATGATTTAGATTGCCTAGGTTTTGAACAGGTAGGTACCTAATGAGCTCGACATGTTAGTATCTCAACATCGGTCTAGGAGCAGCATCCTTCATTGATAACACGCATAAAACATGCAACCATCGTGTGCTTCGTAGAGAGAGCAACGGGATTGTTGTTGTTACATCCGTCCATGCAAGTGCGAGTGTGATAATTTACGACCAAGTACTTGGCGAGGCCGTCTCCTACTAGCTTTCAGCTTCTAACGTCCACATACCTGTTCATGTTCAGTGTGCTTGGTTGATACTGATTGGATTAAGCATGTGATATGTTCTGCATACCTTAATGCGCATGGCATCTTCAACAGTCACAGCAGTCTTATAATCACGGACGCACTACTAGAAGACGACCACTCTCACCCCCACACGGGATGATAAGAGCAGGATCGTCCAGCGTCCAGAATGGCTTCGTACGCGGCACACCGGGTACGCACCACTACCTGGAAGGCTGCCGATGTGCCTGAGACCATTGAAGACCAAGATCTGGTCAAAGTTCCGAAGCAGCTGAGCAGAGACATGTAGCCAGGGATGACACGTCTGCGTCGAGGAAAAATGGAGGAGACGATGGCGACTTATTGGGAAAAGGGGATGCGCCAGGGACTTTGATTGATCCACGGTGGTCACGCGAGGAGGACACCACCCATCACAGCCAGCATATTGAGACCAAAAGCAAATCTACCAGCCTCACTTCCCCGTCGGATACAAAGTTAGCCGGCAAGTTTTATCCTCGATTAGGACGCATTGGGGGAAAGACATACGTACACCCCGAATTGTTCCCTTTCGCTCGACAAGGGTCTGATCTCCCAAAGCACAGCACAATAAAACCGTACCCATATGCTAGGTACGCCAGCCTAGGCCCCGCCTTACGATAGGCGGCGGGTAACCGGCGATCAGTAAGGTAGGGGTAGCTTTTTTTCCAGGAACCGGGGCAGCGTGGAGAGCAAGCTCGAACTTGGAGATCGTCGGTGGGTGGGTAAAGGGGGGGCCAAAGTCTCACGAGCGGACAACCCGTACCGCACCGCCGACGAATAGAAGGAAGAACGAACAAAAATCCATTCGTCTGCAGGAAAAGAGAGAACGATTAAATTTTTTTTTTGCGAGCAAGCCGCGCCGGGGAATCCTGGAAAGCTAGGGAGGTTCGGGTTTCACGGCATATGCGGCCGCCACAATCTCCAATGACATCGAAACTGCGAATGCCTATGCGAATGTTCAGCGAAGCAGCAGGAAAGGAAGAGCAGGCTTGCCCGTTAGGAGGCATGACGGTCCCATCGCTATAGAGTACGGAGTATGTACCAATGCGTATGTTATGTAGCAAGGGTAGCTGATGCAGGAGAAGAGAAGGGGAGGGGGTCGCGACATCGCGACCTCGTGGGCTTAGGGTCCCGTCTCGCTGGGGTTCAACGGTCGCTCAGACATAATGTACACCGGTAGATAAGGTACCGTGCAGCAGGCCGGGACGGCGGGTTATTACCCACGGGACGTGCCCATACGACGGGATGATGTAATTGTGATTATATACCTAAGGGAAAATGCAATGGTAATGTACGCGCGTGTGCGCGCGCCGCAATGCACGTACCGCACGCATCGAACCGTCCTCTGGCCCTCGGCGGTTCCACCTGTTTTCCGTTTGCGCGGAGTTATAGTAAAAAGCCTTATTGGGGTAACGTCCGCCCCTCCCCTTGGATCTTTTTGTGGGTGGAAGAGTTTGACCCCCGTGCTGTGGCGGCTGACGGCAGCAGGAGGGAGCTGCGTGATCGCAGGGCTGGCGCACCTCGGACGCAGGTTTGCTCGACCCCCCATGCCCGATCGTCGGGGAACGTATAGCAGACCCAGATCGTGGGAACCGCCCTTGCCGCCGGAGCGCCGTTTACCCAGGGCTGGCGATAACAAGTTGTCCAAGCTCAAGCTCATGTGGGATCGCGAGCAAGGGTTTCTACATAGCTCCCTTGGAGAAATGTGGCATGCCGGTTGCTGCTAACGACGTTTCGGGCCAGGAGTGAATCAAATTGGTCGAGGTCCCCTGTCCGTAGCACGATGGGACGAGTCTTGATTGGCTATGTTAATGAGCATCGTCTGGTAACAATTTCAGCATTCGTCACGTCTCCCTGGCTTGATACCTGTGATGAGTATGAGTATTTCGCAGAGCGGAAAGCATGAACTTGATTTGACACGCTGCACGTCCCTCTAACACAGAAAGAACTCTCGCCTAACCTTGCCGGCATCTGTATGCTGGCTAATAGTCGTCGGTTTTAATAACCATCTCGATCCGTGGGTAACAGTGGGAGATTATAAGGATAGCGTGTTGGTTGATTTGTTACGAGCGTAATGTTATTTTTAGGAAGCTGAACAATACCGCCGCCCCTCTGTTTACTACCCAGGCAGCCAGGCAGCCAGGTATTATGTCACCTGATAGTTTACTACATAATGTAACGAGCCTGCAGTAGCTCCAGGACTTTAGGACTTTAATGAATTCGTTTAGAAACATATGAGGGTATTCGTACATCCTCCGTAGGTACCTATTTCAATATGATTCTATTCGCATTGCATGAAAAGCTTGTTTGTTATGGTCACATCCGCTACAGAATCGACTGGTCGACGAACCGTACGAGCTAATGGCAGCTGCAGCAAAGCCGGGGCGTGAAACCCAGACGGTTGGTACGGGATCGGGAAACCCAGTGACTCGGGCCGCATGCCGTGAGCCGACAAGTAGTTTTAGGGATCACCTTAGCCAGCTACCTAGCTGGTGTCCGCGGAAAAAGTGAGGCGCGAATGCGGAATGCCAAAATGCCATTCACCCCTTTCGATATACCATCCAAGCCTTCGATATACCATCCAAGTCGTAGCTCTCTGGATCGTTCCAATCAAATCGACGACAGCGAGACCGATGGAGGGGTCCCTGCATGAAGAGCTCCCGCAGCAACACGAGGCCCGGGATATCAGATGCATCTTCACGTACGTGCGCTCATGGTGTCCGTACGTGTAACCAATAATGGGCTAACCTTTCAGCGTAAATCAGGAAACAATTGATTGATTCCTGGCAACTCTTTGGGACCATTCGTCAGCTCTTAAGAGGAGAGAACCGGCAACAGGGATTATCAGAAGCAAAAAGTACCCCGGGACCAAGGTAGCTGGTGCTGCTGGTGGTCTGTTCACGTTTACATTCGTTCATGCGGAGGGCCGCGATAATATCCGTAGAGCCACTACGGTGGCCCGGTCTCAGAACAATTGATTTCGAGGTCCCATATGATGATGGTACATATGCTTCTCCGTGTCTTGGAGTTGTAGCGCAATAACACGAACGGTTTTTTGCTTTTGTCGCTGGTGATCTGTTGTGCTACCAACGTGATGGCTTATGATTGCTAGGCTCGAAGATAGGTACCCTTGTCGGACTCTGCGGTTCTACCCAGCGATCACACCAGCTATATTGGAACTTACACATCGGGAATTTCAAGCTATCTGAGAAACCTAGCTGTTGGTAGGGCATTGAGTCACATGTTGCTCAGATGTCGTAGTTAATAGTCAGGGTTGTGTGCTCGGGTCATGGTCGAATGACGATTCGGGAAGGAGGACCAGGTTCGTCAATTTTCAGCTGTGAGGCCTGCCCCGGGTATATTTGAAAAACCATGTAGGTAATCTACGGGCCACAAACTCTTGCCTGGCATGCGATATACTATCACATCGGAGTTCTATAAGCACATAAGTGGTTGTGATCCTAAAGCTGCTACCATTTGAAAGCAGCGTGTTCCCCGGACGTTCTATTAGTGGGTTCCAGGTACAGCTTACCTAGAAGGTAAGTACAGGGAATTGGAGCTGTGAATGTACTTGTGCTTCAACACTGCTTGGCTTTCAGACGGAAACGATAACCGATGATCTAAGAATATCGGTAGCTAGTATGCAGGTAAATGCCGTGAAGGGTCGCGCAGAGATCGATGAGAATTGTACAATTCATCGTTTACGCAGTGGTGACTGCACTGTGAAACATGACAAACAAAAGGTATCAAACCTGTTGGCTGGCCTCATTTTTTCAGCTCCTTGTCAGGATCGAAATTCCAGCATTAGGGATTCCCCGCTCACCTCTGTACTAGACCATTGCCCATTGCTAGTTTCAAGTACCTAACCTATACGTTCACCTCGCTCTAGGTAGTAGATATTGCCACTAGGGCATTTGCATTCCGATTGAGTGTGAGCTCGACGAATAGCGAAATAACGATGAGATTTCAGTGTCAGTGCGAAGCTGAAAAGTCCGACAAATATAATGGTTGGATCCTTCGATAAAGATGCTACTCTCCTCTATAGCCGATGCTGATATCTCATTGGCTATCCTAACTTGGAGATGCCGCCATCGTTGCTGTCGACACACAACATACTAGTTGCGCTACTGAGATTGCTCCATTTCCATCTGCCTGGAACTCGTTGCTGCAACGTTCCGGGGTGATATGGAAAAGATGCGGTATTCGGGGCGCTGTAGCTGGGTGGGTCCGTCAGCTGTTGATTGGATACATAAGCCGATACCGACGCCATAGTCGTGGGATTGCTACACTCTAGG